AGCTCCAGTTTGATAAGCTTAAGCTTCTCTCGTGCATAAAATGTCCACAATTGTGTGGCTTTGCTTGTGTAAATGTGTGGCTTCAAATTAAATAAAAAAAAAAACAAAAACCAACAAAAAACAAAGTGAAAAAAACAGTAGCTTGACATAAAAACAACTCTTTTTTTTCTGTGCTTTAATATGCAAAACAAAGTATTCGAAAAAGAGAAAACACCCACGTTGGTGCGGTGTGGTGTGGTGTGGTGTGGTGTTTATTGTTATAATAAATATTTTATATTTTATTTAACATAAAATTTCTGAATGAAATTCTATATTTGCGGAGGTTAAATTGTGTTCATATATGTTTTAAATATTAATTTACTATTTGAGTTGCTTCGAGTTTACGTTTATTTCATTCAAAACCAACCTTACGTTGCGAACCCATAACTTCCACGGAGGCGGGGGTTTTGGATGAATCATGTTACAAAAACCGAGCGGGTGTTAAATTCGTTTGCCATGGCTAAAAAAGTGGTTAAATGCAGTGCTCATTGTGGTGGTTTTTGCTTAATAATCATTTTAAAATTATAATTGCTATGAATCCCCACTCATCAACAAGTTTTCTGGATATCGTCATACAGGATGTCAAAACAGCAATACTGGTTTGCTTTGATTTAAATAAAATATGTATTTTTTTCTTAATAAAAATATATGACTCATGAAGGGTACTTCCACGTATATGTTACTTTCGAATGCTTTTATGTTGGGTTGAGTTAGTTTAAAAATAATTAAATAAAAGAAATAAAGATTATTTAACCCATATAAGTTTAGTTTAAAAAAAGCCAGCAATTATAACAGAAAGAAATAATATATAGACAAACTTTCATAACTCGAAGTACCATTTTGCAAAGAAAAGGTTCGACTTATGGAGAGTTCGAGTTAAATAAATTTTTTGTAATTATATGTAAATTGCTCTCTAAACCCTGTTGCACTCTATTTAGTTTGAACTATAGAAAATTTGAATTATAGAAGTTCGTGGTTTGGTAGTTTAACTGTACATTCTGCTCAAAAAGTACTCGGATTTTGTAAATAAAACACACAAATTTAAATTTTATTCCAAATTTATTTTATCTCCTTCAAAATATGCTCCTTCTGAAGCGATACACATATGCCAACGCTTAACCCAATCTTTCATACACTTTTCGTAGGCCCGTGAAGGTATGGCTTTTAGTTCCTTCTGCGAATTCTCTTTTACCGATGCAATTGACTCAAAACGCTTACCACGAAGATGCAATTTGAGTTTCGGGAAGAGGAAAAAGTCACACGGGTCTAGATCTGGAGTATATGGTGCCTGAGCGATGGCAGTGGTGCCGTGTTTGGTCATAAAATCGCGTACAACAAAAAATCGCTAAATGCACTACATACACAATTTCCTCTTCTCTACCATTAGCTTTCACATTCTAAACCATCTTTTACGCCTTCTTATTTTCTTTTATATTATATGCTTAATAACTCACTAGCTGTGAGTCCAAAGCTAGACGTTAGTCTGTGGTATTTTTCCCAGTATCCTATTGGGAATTTGTTTCTAAGTATGTGTAGTTCTGCAAATATTCTTACAGTTGTTAAACGTACCTTAATTTGTTTTAGTGTTGAACTGAAGTTATGAGTTGAGGTTAGTGTTTATAAGGGGGAAGGAGTCAATTTCTTTTTTTAAATGTGCCATATATATTTTATAGCCATTGATATAGACGTTTAAGTTTTAGTATGAACTTTTAAGGTTTGTTTTGGACATTTAGGTCTAAATATCGATGTTTAGGTCTTTGTAAGAACGTTTAGGCCTTTTGACGTGTAGGTCGATGCTGGATGTGATCCATGGTTCTATTTTACTTAATAAAAATTTGAGTTTGTTTTAGTATTTACATGGGTTATGTTATGTTAAGCCTTTTCCGAGTTATTGCTTCTGGGCACTTTTACTCTATGATAGCTGGGGGAATTCTACATAGTCCTGACCATCTGACTGACTAATTTCAGTATTCCTGATAATCTTCATGATTATTCAATGATTGATCTAAGATCTGCGTATCGCCCCGTGCGGTTTGTAATTACTCTGAGATTAGGTAGTGCTAAGTAGGGCAGCCTGTAGCTTCAGAGCTCTGTCCCTTATGTATTTTTTGACCGGATCTATTCTAAGTCCTCTTAGCATATCATTCGTGCGGATGTACCATGGTACTTTGAAGAGCCTTCGGAGAGCCATTAACCCATTTTTAAGGGTTAAGCGTCTAATTTGTTTCTTAATATTTGCAGTACTGCATTGATTTTGCGGTTCTGTGGTTGCTGGTTTAAATTTAGGATGTTTGTCTATTTTATCGAAAAATTTCAATGATATATATATGAATATATGTTCTAACTATTGAGTTAGAAATGTTCTTGTGGAAATTTCGAAGTTTAAAAGACATTAATATATATGTTCGTACCATGTGTCACTTTCTGAGTGCTTACTTTTAACTTTAAGTCCAAAGGTTCGAAAACTTTGGAGCTAAAAAAATGCCAATAAGCCATTTATAAAATATAAAAGTTTTTTTAAGTAATAAAATATTCAATATCCTATAAATGACTAAGTAATATTTCAACATAAGTACTTCTTTCAACATAGTAAAGAATATTAAAAACTTGATAAAATAATATTGCTGATTAATAAAAAAAATTATTAAAAAATAATATATTAATAAAAAGAAAACAAAAAGGAAAATGACTATAAACTAATAAGTATTGTAGTTAAAGATTATAATTATATACAATTAAATACATATTTCGAAAATATCCACAAAGATTTGATAAGTTTCCGTCACTCGCAATGACTAAAATAACCGACTAATGTAACTAATTTTTTATATATATTATAATTGTTTATCGTTTTTAACAAACATTTAATTATTTAATTAAATGTTTAATTATTTGTTAAAATAAACTTGAATTCAAGGTTGAATGGAGTAAACGAAGTCATGTATTTTGGTTAAAATTTAGTCAACATTTTAAAAGTGCGATAAATTATACATTTTGTGGTACATTATATATTCTTATGTAATCCAAAAAAAGAAAAAAACATATACCATATGTGTATATAAGTATATACTCATTTATATATGTAATTACAAAATTTGTATGTTGTTGGGTATAAAATTATGAGTTTGTCGTACGAACAGCACTCGACTTTTGATAAACAACTTTCGACAAAGCACTTGCGCTCTTCCGGTTCATTGTGGGTCAATTTAAATTAATTTTATTCTTTTAAGAGTTGTGTTAAAACTCTTATAAGACTTAGTGTTTAGATTAAGCACAGAATCTACTAACCTTGCCCCCTTTTATTTTATGCAAAGTAGGTGACACTTTTAGCAAAATGTGGGCCATACATAGTTCAGGTCAAAGTTGGTTCAGATACTCAACGAGACGTTTATGCTTTATTGTATCTAGCACTTTTCACTGAACTTTGCTTGAATGTTGTCTGACTCAGCTTCATTTTCATTGCTAATATATATTAAGTGTTAAAAAAAGCAACAACTTTTTAATTGTTTATATAAAACTTATAATTTTTATTAAACTTTAGACGTAACCTTTACAGAAATATTGCTGCCATTGATTCTTGATAAATCGAATTGCCTTATTTGCGTCTAAACTTTTTCCGCTTTTCCGTTTTTGCGTTTTTGCATAAAACGCTGAATATTGCAAAACGTGCATATGAGTATAAACAATTACTTCCTTTGCATAAACAATTATTTTTACTATTAGTATCCGCAAGTATTCCAAGAATGATCATCCATTTCTGAGGAATTCGGTTCGTAGTGGTTCGTAGCTCGTTTCGTTAACGTAAGCAATATTCTTACGAAAACCCCTAAACAAAACTGTTTGTCTTGCATTAATATTTCATAGTTAAATCGGAATTCTTGTGCCTTCAACTGTACTTAATTAATCGTTTAGTTTCATTGCTTGTAAATCTTTTTTTTCTTCTTCTTAATTTAAAAGTGATTATTTAATCTTTTTCGAGTGCAGTATTTGCTTATTCTATTATTTCGGTTTACAGCTTCACATGTGTGCTCTGCTCTGCTCAGCTCAGCTCAGCTCTGCTCAACTCGTTCAGTTATCTTCGAAGATAATCCCAACACAAATTTGAAGTACGTAAGTAGTGTGATGTGATGTGTTGCTTATCTATAAAATGTGCATCTCTCGTGTTTGGTACATCGTGTTTTATATCTTCTAAAACAGACAGAGACATATAGAAGTCTTTGTAGTATAGGTTTTTTATCTTATTTCTATTATGATTAAGATAAAGTTTCTTATGAATTATAGGTTTTAATGACATATTTTTCAATAATTTTGTTAGCTGTAAAACATGTTTTATTAGTCAGACTTGTCGAGTATCTGTTTTTTTTTTAATTGGAAAAAATCTGTATTTTGTTTATGTGGATTTACGTAAATTGTGTTTATAATTGAATCTGGTATAAGATTTATAAAAAAAAATTTTTTATAGATAAAAAAATTATAAATAAAAAAAAATATAAATAAATAAAAAATATAAATAAAAATTAAAATTAAAACTTAAAATTAAAAATAAAATTGTTGCCAGAGAGCAATAATAATATGGGATTGATACACTTTTAAGATTACTTTCTTATCTATATCTTATTCTTTGTTAGCAATAATAAAAAAATTTAGCGTACCCAATCCAATATCCAAAATCCAATCCAGTGAAAAGTTATTTTGAATTTATATAAGAACAGTGTAAGGTACAAGACAAAAGGTCGCCAAGATTACTTTCTTATCTATATCTTATTCTTTGTTAGCAATAATAAAAAAATTTAGCGTACCCAATCCAATATCCAAAATCCAATCCAGTGAAAAGTTATTTTGAATTTATATAAGAACAGTGTAAGGTACAAGACAAAAGGTCCCCAAGATTACTTTCTTATCTATATCTTATTCTTTGTTAGCAATAATAAAAAATATAGCGTACCCAATCCAATATCCAAAATCCAATCCAGTGTAAAGTTATTTTGAATTTATATAAGAACAGTGTAAGGTACAAGAGAAAAGGTCGCCAGCTCGTTTGACGTGGTAGTAGCAGAATTATGGGTCTAACACAGAAGTTTTTCTGTAAATTTAACTAATATTTTTTATCTGATTGTTGTACTTTGTTAGTAATAACAAAAAAATATAAAACTACCCAATTCAAAACAGGCTGAAAATTAAGAGAAAAGACAACACCCCTATGTTTATCGTTGCAATGGGAAGTCATAAATTAATGATATAATTCAACGAATTAACATCCAGCAGTTAATCACTGACTTGGTTATATCGTGAAAGTGGATGACGATACTTCAGTGGTAAAGGTATTTGAAGCGGTAGAGGTAGATCATGTTTACCTCTACATACTTCGTCAAGCCAAAACCCGGTAATGAGTTGTTATGGCTAAATTAGGATGAAAGGAAAAGGAGTCGCGACTTAACACAGAAATTCTTTTGATAAATTTTTCTAATATAACTTCCTAATCGAATAAACTTATATTATGGTGTAATATAATAACGAGGCCCTATGCTTCAATATAAGATACAGGAATTGATGATGATGATGATGATGGTGAATATAATAACGGTTCAAGATTTTAGACAATAGCATCCGTTTGTTTGATGAGGCATCTGAGGCACAATATTAATTTGTTGCACTTTTCTTACCTCTATGTTGTGTTATGTTAACAATATTAAATTCAAAAACTTTGAAACTAGCCAATCCTGTAAAGAGTAGTTTTGAATTAATATAATAGTAGTTTCAAGTAAGAAACAAAAGATCAACCGTTCATTTGATGAGACAATAACATATTTTGAGCACGACGCATGAACTTTTTTGCTAAACTGAAAATATGTAAATTTTCCCTAAACCCTAGGTTCTAGGCTTATATATTGCCTAGGGTATAACACAAGTAGCCAAGAGTTTGTTTAATGAGACGTCGTGCGTGTGACAGGATACTCATTTGAAAGCAAATGATTTCAAAACCTTTCTTTCGTAAATTTTATTCCATTTTAACAATAATTATAAAACAAGAGTAGTTATGGATTGATACTATAGCGGTGCAAGTAGCACTAGAAGAAAAAAAGGGATTAAATTCATTTTAATAGCACTCTGCGACGTGATTAAATGATTTCTTAAGCTAATATCTGCTTATATATTTATTATACAAGTTAACTGGAGATACGAAGTGTATATATTTTAAAATTAAATATTTTTATTAATCATTAAAAACCTCAGTCCCAACGATTTTTCCTGTGAGTAATTCTATAATTATTAAAACTTTAATTTAATATTTATTTTATTTATAAGCTTGATGAAATAACTATGAACTCTATCATAAAACATTTATCATGTTTTAAGCTATGACTATATATAACATTTTGTGGTGAACTAATTTCTTTCCCCAAGAAAAAAAAAAAATTTTATGGATAAAAAGTATCTTTTTAATATTTTCTGATAAAAATAATAATATTTTCTTAGAATAATCACTCTCCGCACAGGGAGATACGCAGATCTTAGATCAATCACTGAATAATCATGAAGCTTATATGGAATACATAAATTAGTCAATGAGATGGGTGGGACCCTGTAGTACCCCCAGCTATCAAAGAGTAAAAGTGCCCAGTTGCGCTGACTCTAAAAAAGGATCAACATACATACATACATCAACGATTTATTTGAGAGCTATATCTAAGTCTAAACTGTTGAACCTCATTTTTATTAGACAGGTTACATTCTTAAAAATTTTCTCAAGTTTTGTATTTTAAGGTCATACCACAAGAAAAAAGTAATTTAAACAAAAATCTGTAACTAAATCGATAGTTTATATAGCAACTATATCTAACTCTATACCGATATGAATAAGAATATATAAATATAAGTACAAACGGTAGCTCTATCTAAATCTAAAACATCGGTTTAGGAGTAGGAGTACATAAACATATATACATTCTCCATAAAATTTTATTTGATAAATATCCTTCTAAAAACGAAGATTACTCATATCCGATGGTTCAGTTTATATGGCAGCTAAAGAAGCTATATAATGATGCGATTTTGGCAAAACCCACACATTTAGTTGTGGTTTATAAATTATGTTTAAATACTTAATTGTAAGTATATATGAATATAAATTTGAATACATTAGCTACCAAATTTTTTTTTGAACATCTTCCTTAAGAACGTATATCACCCATATTAGATTGTTCAGTTTATATGACAGTTAATATGGTTGGATATTATAAATTATGCATACGTTTTAAATTGGAAGTACAATAACTTCTACAATAACAGCAATGGGCGTTGTTTTGTGCCCAAACAGGGGTTGAGACATTCAAAACCCTGGTGTTAGAGACACCAACTACAGAGTAGCAAAACTCTTTCGAAAATTGGTTTAATCGAATGCAAATATATATTGGTGATCTTGGAGTAGAATGCTTCCAAAAACAATATAACTATTTTCACTGATTATTCACTGCGGCTTCATTGCTTGGCACAAGACTTAAAAGACAGCCCTCGTATAAATTATGAGGAATACATAAATTAGTTAGAGAGAAGGGAGAGACTCTGTAGAAACCTCCCAGTTAAGAGAGTGTAAAAGTGTCTAGGTGCGTTAACTCGAAAAAACCTCAACATAAGACAACGTTTTCTACAAATATCTTGACAAATCTAATATATCTTCACACTTTTTTGTGTAAATGGTTTAACAATTAATTCCGTAAGGTATAAAATTCGTTGCATTACTATGACGGAACACTACTTATGGTAAAACAGCAGTTTACCTTTTCGGTAGTTTTAAGTATGTATGATAGGATATGACACACAAATATCGATACATCCTAATTAAATTGATTGAATTCGTTTATAATTGTATTTAGTAAGAATAATTCTTGTGTGATTATGACTAATCTTATGTCTAATTGAAAATAATCATTATCGATTAAGAAGGCTATCGGATTGATTTGAAGGTACTAAGTTGATCATTATTAACCTCATTCTAGTCTTGTATTTAAAACGATGATTGATGTTATCTCATTTATATTAAGTGTTAATAATAGAACTTAAAAGCGAACCTTTTCTTGGTAAGAAGACATAAAAAGCACTTTATGAGGGGAATTCAATTTAATTAAAATCCTGCATCCATACTTATTTCACCCAGTATTATTGTGATTACTAATCATTTGCGTTAATGAATCTTTTGATTATTTTTACTTTATTGACTGACTTGCCTTTCTAAAAATAATTATTTCTACAAGTAAAACTAAATTTAAACCAGAATTTATTGTTTAATGTAATGTAAGCCGCTCTAATCACAGCTTTTTTATTTTAGTTCGTTTCATTTGAAGTGTGATTCACGTGGCTGACACTTTTCGTACCATTAAACCTTTCCAGTAATTAGATTTACATGCATAAGCAATATTAGTAGCGCAGTGTGTTGAGCATGGATCGTAACACTTTTTTGCTTTTCATCTATATATATACATATATATATATCATATAATGTGTAAATAAATCAGTGAAGACCAAAACACAGCCAAATCACATTCAGCGATTCGAATTGCGTTTGATTTTAATTTAAATAAAATTAAAATTTTTTCTTTTGCCTAACTCGACATGCAGTCGATTCGCAAATTTATTATAAACAAATTCATTAAATAAAATAAAATAAAATTAAATAAAATTTTGTTGTTTTGTTGTTTCGCGATTTTACGTGTTAATTGATTAATTTCCATTTAAAAAGAAAGATATATTGCGATTCATATTTCATTTTAAAAATATTTGCGGACGTTTTGAAAAACTGAAAACCTAATAGGTTTTACAAGGTAAATATTTAACAATACATGTGTTAATTATATATCCACAAAATTAAATACATATATATATACATAAGTGTATACATATAGAGTTAATAATCTAAGCTTAGACGTAAGCTTAAGTATGCAAAATAAAACGATTTAATAAGTAACTCGAGCTGTCGAGTTGCCGTATCTTTTACTGAATTTATTTACCTTACCATTGAAGGACACCGAAAATGGTTTATAGTCTGAATTTGTTTTATAAGAGAACACACCAGAAAACAAGTTTAGAAAATTTATTTTATTAAAAATGCAATACAATTCAGTACTGCAATTAAAATTTTTTCCTCACTTTGATTTGATTTGTGGGTGTGTTCGATTAACTATCAGAAAAAATTCAAAAGAATTTAGAAACACTTAACATATAATTAACGTAGACGTGATACTTAAATGTAGACACATTTTTATTACTTCACACTCATGTATAATTTGAATTAAAAATAAAATGTGAAGTAATTTTTAATAAAAATTACACAGAATTGGAAATTAAAGAAACCCAATAGTATAATAAATAAGTACTTTAACTCATAAATTGATAAGTGCTTTTAGAAATAAAATTTCTACATAAAATTATATTGCTTTTCTATAAGAAATTAATATAAACATTAACTTTTAAATGCTACTTTTACAAACGAAACTCCACAGAGAACTACCTAGTTTATGCGGACGACAACTGCTTTCTTTCTTATTACTACTACTACTACTAGTACTATTGTCCATTACCTACATAGGGGCATAGGGTCTCAATAATTCTTCTAAATCTGACTCTATTTGCTGCTTCTCTGTACATGTCATTCTGTGTATATCGTGCTTCAGTTAGTTTACTTTCTTCTCCATGTTTTCGCTGGCACGCCAGGTTTTCTGCTGCCTTGTGGATTCCATGCCAAAGCTTGCCTCGCTATGTCATCTCTCGGTTGTCTAAGCGTATGGCCTACCCACTTCAATTTTCTCATTTTGTTTTAGTTTTTGAGTTGTTTGGTTTAACAGGTGTTAATTGGATACTTGATCTGACCATTGAATTCGATGTAGAAAAATACTTACATCCTTCTCTATATATATCTGGAGTGCTTCCATGTTTCACAGCCGTAGTACAATATAGATTTCAGATATGTGTTAAAGATTCGCAGTTGTTTCTATCTCCTGAGTTCATTGAATCTCCATATGTTGTTTAGTTTGCCAAACACGATTTTCGCTTTGTTGATCCGATCATAAATATCTTCTTTAGCTCCGCTCTTGTTAAACACAATATTTCCTAGATAGGTAAAACAGCCTACACATTCAATTTCTTCTCAACCATTCACATGCAGCCTTACATTTTGAGCTGCGCTTTATCGGCTCGCCATGGTTTTTGTTTTTTCCGTACTTATCCTTAAACCGGCAGACCCTGTTCGTTTGCTTATGACGGATATCATTTGCTGTGATTTATCATATCTGTGACTTAGCAGCAGGACACCATCGGCAAATTCTAGATCTTGTAGACACTTAAACAGTCCCCATGTGACACGCCTGGTATTTTTTCTTTCTTTCGTACAGGTTGTGCGATTTGAAGCTTATCGCACGGGAGTCAAGCGGGAGTAACTACAAACAACTGAACTCAAAACCAAAGTAGGCTAAACTAAGTCCCTAATTGGCCTACATTTGTGGTGAATGTAGAACCAGCACAGTCTACTATTTGAAATGTGATAGTACACCATAGGGGGTTTTCAAATTTGCTGTTCTAATTCTGTAATCCATAAATGCTGGTCCGTTAAATCTTCCGTAGGCGCTCCTAAATCCACCTACGTGAAATTCAACCTAGACAGCAAACTAGAGAACTGTTTATGGTGCACTAAAAGAAAATTTATAGTGGAGTTTATATGACTTAAATTCACTCTAGATGTTCCACAAGTGCACCGTTGGTGATTTTGTAGTCCAACGTCGTTGGTCCTCAAATCCGCCGCAGTTGGTACACAAATCTACTGTAGATTTGATTCCTGAAATGCACAGGTGATGGTTTTTTAGTCTAACGTCATAGGTCTTAAAATTCACGGTTGGTGCTATTGTAGTCCACCGTAGGTTGTATTTGATAATAGGTGGGTATCTAGTTCATCATATGCTACTTCTGCTTCTAAATGTATGGCTATCTAGTTCATATAGCTACTTTATAATTGGTAGCCTTGGTAGTCCTTCTTATGTTACGAATACTTCATAACTGGTTGATATCTAGTTTTTCATATGTTGTCTATACTTAACATTTAGCTCAGTACATTATAATAGATGACTATCTAGTCCACTGTATATTACCTATACTTCATAAAAAATGGTCATCTTATCTATGAAAGGTAACAGCTGTGGTGAACTGTGCTACTTTTATATAATTCAGTTTATTAATTTTTACTACAATGATACGTAATTCATTATCGGTTTTAAGTGAAATGGGTAGCACTTAAATAAATATATACTATATGAGTTACTGTATGATATATTAGTGAACGAATTGTTTTTAAACTATAACTTTTGATATAAATTATTTGGCAGAATAATATAACACCAACAAACTCTTAAATCGCCATTAACCTGTACTAGTTTTCATTTAATAAATAACAATTACGTACAAATAATTTGACAAATATACGTTAATCTATGCTAATTAATTTTAACTTCTTTGTAAACAACAAATTCTGGTGTCAATATTAGTTTATCATTCATAAAACTGTGGGAATTACGTGTACGCCCTACCACAATATATATTTCTTGCTCACAGGTTATTCACAAAAAAAAAAATAAATAAATAAATAAATTGATGTACATTTGACCTTGATTATCCTATTAAAGGCTATGCGCCTGGCAAATCGTGAGAAAAACTATAACAATTTTTCAGTCAAGTGGGAATTACGTGTTCCAACAATGAGTTGGAGAAATTACACCCTTCACAGCAGCCATCGCTACCGTCACGTTGCTTATCAATAAACACCAGCGAAACAAAGCGGTGTCGCAAACTAACATATACCTCATACCAAAGACATTATGTGTAAGCATGTTTTCTAAGACAATATGGATGGCAGTGATAGGGAAAACCATGTACGTGATTTCCACACCATTTTCACACCAAAAAAAAAAAAAACAAAAACAAAAATGGAAAAAACAGAGGAAAATAACAAAAGCAAATGTCTTTATCGCTACAATAACAGAACGAATAATGAGAAATACTCAATGAAGGCAAGAAATGACAGCTAATAACATTGCTTAGCCTCTTCGGCACCGGCAAACCGCTAAGAAAATCTTACGCACTAGCACAGCACATCAGCTTGCCTCAGCGTACTTACCTGTTCCCAAGTCTGTGTAAATTAATTTTCCGAATGAGCCACGATTTTCCGAATGAAAATAGGTAAAAAGTGACAAATCATTTTCCATTCTATTCACTAGACGTTGTCACTCAGAAAAAGTACGTCGCCGGCTGAAGTACCGTCAATGGAAAAATAGTGACAAAACAGATTTTGCATTGTAATTTTTTTTTGTTAAATAACATTGAAGAGGTGCTTAAAGACTATAAGAAAAAACTTTCTGTGTTATTATTGTTAATTATATTATTTTTTATGTGTAAAGTATACACTACTCTACTCGTACATATAAAGAAAAAGTTGTGATAAATTTATAAAAAATTTAATGTTGTTTTTCTCTTCCAGATCTTTCGTTTTTATTGCGTTATCTGTGAATTACGAATTTATTTGAATTTTATGCTGCCAGTGTCAAGCAATATGCACTTAATTGCAGCAGGCCCATCCCTTTACTGAGAAAGGGGGGCTCTTCAGTCACATTGCACTGAATCATCAACAACAAATGATCAAATGATCAAATGAACAGATGAACAGATGAAGCAACAATATTAGTAACAATAAAACTATTGTCAACAAATGGAATTGTGCAAATGAACCACCTTGCTGCAGTGTGTCCTCAACTATAACGTCCACAACAAGTAACGTCGAAATAATTGGAAAGAAAATTATATAAAAAAGTAAAAAAAAAACCAGTCAACAAATTATATCAATTATATGAGCAACAATTACAACAATTACAATAGTTGACGCAACAAACAACAGCAACAAACTTAATTTAAAAAACAAATTTAGAGAGAAAAATGCATAAATTACAAGCTCTATTAAGCTTAGACGCTGTCATGCTAATTAGCGCGCTTTTACTGCTCACATTGCAGCTACACCTCTGCCCTGCGAGCGCTTGGATGCCCGATGTACGCCCAGATTTGCAACCAAGTAAGTTGGAATTCATTGTTTTTTTTCTTTTTTTTTTTCATTTTTTGATATAATTTTACTTATTATTTATTTACTGTTTTAATTTGGATCTGTTTTGCAATAATTAACATTTCCTTTTGTTTGCAAATAATTTATTATTTTATTCTAATTATTTTACAGAACAAGATATTATTATCGCCAAGTTCTTAGGAAATACAACGGATTATTTTAAAATTTTGGATCATGACGATGCTACCATGCTAGTTGGAGCAAAGTAAGTATTTGCATAATAAAAACTATACACTTTTTAACAATAGAATATAGTATAACACTTCGTTCAATAATGTGTGTGATGACACATAAATGGCGGTACTAATACTAAATAAAGTGGCAACCTTTTTAAGCTTACTGTCAAAATCATATGTTAATCCGACCATTTGTTTACAAGTTACAGTGCTTTAAGTGACGCTACTTTTGAGTTTTCAAAAAAAAATGAATTCAAGGCAATTCCGTGTGCTGATTTATCATTGTTTTTTAATGAAAAAAAATACTGTTCAATGCCAGGAATGGCTTGAAAAGCATTTTCGGACTCTGCTCCATCAAAAAGAAACATTTGTTATTGGTATGCCGAATTCAAACGTGGTCGTACAGACACCGATGACATTCCATCTACTGGACGGCCAAATGACGCTGTTATTCCGGAAAACGTTAATAAAAAAACACTGAAAATCATTATGTCCGACCGTAAGTGAAAGAGTGAAAGTGAGGGAGATTGCTGACATTCTACAGATATCAGCAGGCAGTGTACACACCATAATACACGAACATTTGGGTATGAAAAGGGTGCCGCGTTTGCTCACACCGGAGCAAAAACAACAACGAATCGATGATTCAAAGAGCTGTTTCCATAGTACCACCTATTTGTTTACCTGCCCCAACGCGTAATCTAATCTGAATCCAATCGACATTTAGACACGCTCCATAAAAGTGGAGTTTTTCCGTCTTGATGGTGGTTGATTTCAATTTAAATCCCACCCATCCACATATTGACCCACATATTCGTGATATGATTCCTTATATGTACTTTTTTATATAGATCTTTAAGGGTTGTCACTACAACAACATGAATTTATGAGCCTAGCGGTCATCCTTAACTCCGATCGTTTCCTTTTTCTTATTAACAGCGTAGGTTGGTTTAAACTAACCTACAATTTTTATGACTAGGCTTGAGTATTAAAACAGCACTTTTACGCTACTTGGATAGAAGGGGAAAGTCTGCAGTAACTAAACCGAACTAATCAAGGGAGGAATAACTCTGAAGGAATGCGTAGGAATATTGAATCTAACATAAGTTTAGATAAAGTTGCCAACGAGAAGGACCCATAAATCAAAATAACTCAACCAAGTTAGCAATTATGCTAAAGGAATAGGTAGGATTATTGAATCTAAACTGGGTTCAGTGAGGGATCTTGTTACTTTAAAGAAGGGGAGCCATAAATCCAAAGAGCTTTACCAAATTAGCAGTAAGGCTAAAGGAAGATGTAGAGCTATTAAATAGGAGGAGCTATTAATCAAAAGACTTTAAAGTTGTGTGTGAATTTAGACATGAAAACAAATTGGAGATGTTGTTTGGAATAAAGCTGTACAGCGGGAACAAATTGAGAATATATTTATTCTACGTCATAAATCACTGTTTAGCATTTAGTTAAATTCTGATTGAGGAACATGTCGTGCTGTACTTGGGTGATTTCTTTCATCCTCACGAATATCAGGCGGAAATCTTTTGTAAATCTTACTGTAAGATAACCGTTATTTCGAAGAGGATAGTGTTTCGATATTGAACATTGATGTTAACTCTGAAGGAGTCGTTAAATTCATGTTACGAAGAAAGGGTACACCCACTGTGGCGTCATTTGGATGTCCATCTGTGCAGCGCGAAAGGAGATATATTAATTAATGGCAAATTATGCTTCCAAACAAGAAAAATTATAGATTCCGCATAAAGATGATTAACATTCGACATATGATGACAAGATATGCCTATAAAATTCTGTTATTACTTTCTTTATTTATGTTATTGCGCTATTGTTAATGTTTAATTATAAGTATATATAAAGAAAAAAATCTCGCGAACTTGTCGTTACCTATTTGGAGTTCATGCGTTCCCAAGTTTGGTTCTTTCGAACCAGGTAGTACCTTGGTTTTAACGACATTTACTTCAAATAACAATATGAGCTGTTACGTTCTCAAAAGTGTTATTTTTCCATATACCTGTAATTTTCATTCATAAAACTATAGATATGATCATAATAGCATTTCATTATATATATTTGTAACTCGCAGGTTATTCAATAAAATAACAGCGCAATCGAGCACATTTAACCTTCATTATCTCACATTATATATGACCTTCATTGTCCTTTTAAATACGATGTACCTCAATAACTATAAAATATTTTACTAAATAATTTTTTTAGAATGAACCCCAGCTCAGCTGTTGTAAAGACAAAAGGTTAAAAAGATTTTTAAATTCAGATTTGGTAATATAACACAAGCAACTATATTATTATTATAGCTAAACATAAGATTTGTTAACTGCTTAATATCTCATTGGTATTGTAATTCAATAATATTCTTACGAATGATATTCAAAGAGTTTCATTTGTTTCTGTGAATTAGACTATTGAGTTATATATTGGTGTTACCATTGTCACCCATCGTGGATTTCGCGAAGTTTGGGAGCTTAAATAGAAGGAAACTACACAAAGTTTACGATTTTAAGAGAGCATGAGGGTAAAAGGTGAGAATTGTAATGGGACTTTGAGTGGAGGAATATGATAATCACAGATAAAAGAAATGGTATTAGGATATGGGTATTGGAATATAATCTATATTATGACTTCGAAATGATATAGTTACTGTTATCTCGATGAGATGAAGACACATGCCATTTGGGCTAACAAGGGAATGTGACGCCGCATGTGACAATAGTTTATCAATGGACGGATTGTCATGAACAGTATACGTTCAAGTCAGCTAAATACTAGTATGTGACGTAGAACAATTAAATATTTAAACAGTGACTTACGAGGAGTTGTTATAAATGTATTATTTCGTAAGAAGTGACTATTAAGCACATACTGGAGATATATATCCCCGACTTTACTATACACTAAGTTCCTTGTTTGAAAGAATTCTCCAAAAAATTGTGTTTCTCTTCCTTATAAATATAAGGCAGAAACCTATTGAGCTAAGAACTCAACTGTAATCCATATGGAAAGTTAAAGAAGTTACTGCATTGGTGTATTTAATCATTAAAATTAATTAAAAGACTCTAGGCTGGAGAAAAGAAGAGGAAGTTACTTATAATGTTTGCTTACATACATATTTATTCGCTTACTTTCTATAGACCTACTTATTTTTATCATATCTTTGTAACTGATATATCTTTGTATCTGATCTGTAATTTTTATTGTACATAATTCTTTTATAAACTTATGTTCTTATAAATAATGAATTTGTAATTTCTTTTAACAGAGATGTTATCTATAATATAAGTCTAAATGGTTTACTTGAGAATAGTCGTTTGGAGTGGTACTCATCAGATGCAGATCGTGAACTTTGTGCGCTAAAAGGTAAACACGAAGCAGACTGTCACAATTACCTGCGAGTTTTTGCACGTGTTAGTGATGGCAAGATCTTGATATGTGGCACCAATTCGTACAAGCCGCGATGTCGTCACTATAAACCACTAAGCGAAGTAAAACCAAATACAGCGCCTAAATATGAGATTGTGTATGATGTTGAGGCTCAAGGCCTTTGCCCCTATAGTCCAGCACATAACAGCACTTATGCATATGCAGATGATCAGCTATATAGCGCAACTGTAGCTGATTTTTCTGGCAGTGATCCGTTAATATATCGTGAGAGTCTGCGTACTGAACAATACGATCTAAAGCAATTGAATCAGCCAGACTTTGTGGGTGCCATAGAACGAAATGGTTACGTTTTGTTTTTCTTTAGGGAAATAGCAATGGAATATATGAATCTTGGCAAGGTAATTAATAATTTTTAACTAATAATATTGTAATAAAACAATATTAATTGAATTAATGTTTTATAGACAATATATTCACGTGTTGCACGTGTCTGTAAAAACGACCGTGGTGGTCCTTATGCATTACAAAAAAGTTGGACATCATTTTTAAAAGCGCGTCTTAACTGCTCTGTGCCTGGAGATTTTCCATTTTACTTTGATGAAATACGTACGTTTCTATTTTTAAATTATCAATAAAATTTACTAATAAGAATTTTTTATTAAAACAGAGGCTATAACACCAATCATTGAGAGTGGTGTAAATTCACTTATATATGCTGTGTTTACCACTTCTGTAAATGCTATACCAGGCTCGGCAGTTTGTGCTTATAATGTAGATGATATAATGAAATCATTTGAAGGACGATTTAAATCACAAAAAGACTCACATTCTCATTGGTCAGCTAATCAAGATGAGCAAGTACCTGATTCTACAAGACCAGGGCAATGTGTTGATGACTCTCGTATGTTATCCAGCATTGCTGTTAATTTCGTTAAAAATCATCCATTAATGGATGAAGCTGTGCCTGCTGTTTATGGTCGCCCACTCTTAACAAAAGTGAATTTACATCATCGCCTCACCGCAATTGCAATTGATCCACAAATACTTGCTTTAAATGGACAATTTTATGATGTTATTTATACTGGTACAGATGATGGTAAAATTACTAAGTTCATAAATATACCCGCTCCATCGATTACGAATAGTGCAGAAGCTGTAGATAAACTGAAAACTGTTGTTATATCTGAATATCAAGTTTTACCTATCGGCGTACCAGTACGTGAATTGGTGGTTTCATCGAAAACTAATACATTATTGGTTGCAAGTGATGGCAGCTTAGTTACAGTACCTTTACATCACTGTGCGCATATTGTCGACTGTTTGGGTTGTTTAAGTTTGCAGGATCCCAACTGTGCTTGGGATCAACAAAATCAGGAATGCAAGAGTTTATCGCGTAGTAATAATAAATTTGGTACAAAAGCATTTTTACAAAGTTTAAATAGCACAAAGAAAGCAGCTGCTTCGCTTTGTCCAAAGACGGTGCGTGGCACATTAACTGGTGATGGTCCTGCAAGTGTTGGTAGTATTGGATTTGATTTATTATCAGCACAAACGCCACAGACTGATGAAGATTTAAATAAAAAGCTGCACTACGCGAAAGTAGGTGCCAATGTAAATGAAGTCAATACAGACAGCAGCTCTGTAGGTGGCATTGATGTTGTTGGAGACTTCTTTAACAATGGTTTTGATGACAAAAAAATGATGATTCCAGTAGATCCTGATGACTTAATGAACTCACTTAATGGTAAGTTTTTATTGATGTTAGTGTTTTTAGATTTGCAGTCATGTATTTTTTTTTATATTAAATACTACAATTCAACATAGGACCACAATTTTCATTATTATATATGACATATTTATAATTGGTTGACATTTTAATTGTTTTTAAAATTCCCAAGCATTCCATCTAAAGCATTTCGCTTACCTTGCAATTCTTAATTTTGGATTACTTTATTTTGTAAAAAGTCCACAAAATCACTGACTCAACGTAAAATTCTGTAAAGCCTTCAATCACAAATAATTTAATTTTACAATTATTTGCCGTTTTTGTAAAATGTTAAAATCTCTGAATACATACTCTATGGATACTCTAAGTTGAGCAGCAGTAGACTTATCCATCTGAGGGACAGAATTATTGCTCCTTATAAAATGTAAAATAATACAAAATCAGCAAAAATCATTAAAAGTGGAATGGAGGTTCCAAGAACGACCGGGTCTAGACCGGGGTCTGCACGCTACAACAACAACAAAAACCTAATGAACCTTGCAGTGTTTAGTATTCCATACTTAGTTAATAATAATATTTATTTTGTTTATATTTCAATTTTATTATTTATGTTTTGTTTATTGTTTTTAAAATCATTAGTTTTAATGATAGTCTCGGGTCTTACGACCAAATTTGAACCCCGATACATTGTTTTTTTTCTCACTCTCAATATTATAATTTGCCTTGAAAACAACAACAATTTTGGTCAAGACGAGCTCATGATGCTATAGAACATAGGAATAAAATTATTAACTTCTAAAAACTTCTATTTATGTTTTTTTTTCTATTTTATATTACATATATTTCTTTCTACTTGCAGTTCCATTGCATTCTACTGCCAATATAGATGATCAAAGATTACAATATGCAGGCAATAGTTACTTTTGGGGTTTCGGAGCTGTTGCACTTTCTCTGGTATTTATTATTGGCATGTTTGTGGGTCTTTACACTTCCAAACAAATCTGTAAAGGAACGGCACTACATGCAAACCACCGAAATCAATTTAATTCAAATACGTAAGTTACATTGTAAAGTTAATTACATTTTACATATATTAATGTATGTCCTACTCTATTTGCAGGCAATTTGGCGTTAAGCATCATAATAGCGGTAAAGATGTAAATCTGTTAATGAATCCCAATCATTTCTGTAATCAGAAAAAGCCTAATCTTGATCTTGAGAAAGATCGTAGTCATGAGTGCAAGAATTCTACGGAGAATCTGGAAAAGGAAATCCCATGTAAAACGTCTACACTGACAAAGGTGAAGCGTACATATATATAGTTAGGATATTTAATAAGTTGACCATATTGATAAAGAAATTAATAGATTTACACCATTACAGTGAGAGTGACGTTATAGTTTTTGAGAACTGAGTATGTATGTTAGTATTAAAACGTGAAACTAAGGTTGATTTAGCTTATCAAATAAGGCTATCATATATAGGTATGTTTGTTATAGTACCAGAATCTCAGCTGTAGAGTTTTAGTTTACACAAATTTTAAGCCTAGTGAGGAAATAGCGCTATAACAGCTTTGATATACATTTTAATACTACATTTATCAGCGAAACTATAAAAATCTAAAAGAAAAATTAATCAGAAATTATACTCGAATGTGTTAGAATAGTAAGAGTGAAACGTTTCAAACGTTAACCCTTTAAAATTGTTCAAAGTTTGATTTTTGATAGTTCTACTTGTTGTTTAGTCCTTCTCCAAACAATCTTAAATATTTTTTTAAATTAAATATTAATAAAAACTTAGTTAATATTTTACATATAATAATTATGTGAATAAATTCGGGCCTTAGTATAAAATATTTTTATATATAAAGCATTATATATTTTATATACATGTATATTTATATATATTATGTATAGAAATTCATTTAAGTACAAACATATATAATTATAAGTATAACTTTATTATAAGAATTTGCATGCATTATATATATTGAATAATTATTAAATATATCCATACACACACACACAAATACATAATATTTATATATAAATGAAAGCAATTATAAAAATTTAATATTAAAACTGAAGTATTTTAACATTAGACTGAATTTTTTATACAAATTTTATACGAAATTTTATATAAAAATGTTGAAATTTTGTTAAGTGATCCAAAAGGAATTAAGATTTGTTTGATGTGTAATTTTTAATATAAAATATAAATTAAAAATCTCTTTAAATTTATTTAAAAAATAATTTTTATTAAGTAGTGTTTTTTTTCTTTCGTATACTTATTTGTTTTGTATTTGTGTGTAATAAATAGTCTAATTTATTTTTAAATGCATGTGTATATAAATTTTAAACGTTAGTGTTTTGTGTTTCTAACAAAATGTTTAATGTTCTCTTTATGTATGTTTATTTTACATTTAATTTAAATTTTTCCTTAAAATTAAAAATTTATTAATGTAATCTTTCAATTTAAATACTAAAAGATGCTCAAGTAATTAGGAATTGATTAGATATGAGATAAACAGGGTGTACAAAAAGATTATTGAACAAAGCTAAAAGAAGCTAATCAACTAACAATAACAATGAAGACTAGAATGTGACAATATCAATCAAAAGCCATTAGATTTTAGCACTTAAATGAAGTTATTTCTAAAATATTTCAAGATTCACTTAACTCTGAATGCACTAAAACCATTAACACAAAGAAAACTTAAGTGTGGAAAATAACACTGTTTTATAAGCAATTAATAAGACTACTTTATGGTTGCAATGGTACTTCATCTATCATTCAAAAACTCCAAACTTATCAGAATACTGTACTGAGACGTATGTGTACTCAAAACTTCATGGAACATCAGATATGAAGATAAACAGAAAAACTTGAGAGTGAGACAAAGTACATCAAAGACAGAACGCTGAAATTGTTCGATACTGTGGATGTGCACAATTATTCAGAAATGTACTATCATCTCAAATCAAATGCAATATATAATCCGTCAGGAAGGTATATTGGACTTCAAACTTCTATAAACTTCTATAAAATGATCTGAATAACTTACTATCAGAATTCAACAGAGCTCTCATTACAATGGATCATCCAAGTAGTCACAGACATTATGGAATAAAAGTGATTCATCAAGCAAAGAAGAAGAAATAAATTGAGAAAATGTCATTCCTGTTTTGAAACCAAAAATCATCCAATGGTATAGTAATGACTCAAATGACAATTATAGTTATTTGTAACCGTATTGATTAGAGATTGTGTCTCTATACCAACGCCTACTTTACAGCAACCACCCCGCATGACAACGAAGTGTCAGTATCAGTCATTAATTTTTAACTTTCGCTCACACGTGCCATTAATCACAACTTGCTTAATGACTTTGCAGTCAATCATTTCACCAAAATAACTGCTTTTATTATCGTAAGACATCTTGAAAGAGGTGAGTGTCATTTAGACACCCAAAACGACTAATACAGGTCCATAAACCTATTTGCCTACATGAACATTGATTTCTTAAAAGATTTACCAGTTTCATTTTGGATTTACCTTTTTCAGTTGTTAGAGAGAAGCCGCTTGATTTGTAATGATCGTCTAAAAACACTATTAGGTCTTCGACCCTTCTGCCTGTAGGCTATGAATCGTAACTCGTTAAATGATTAATCCTTCTCATTTTGAAGATATCTGCGGTGGGTTACTTCACCGAGGTTTTTTCTTTAATGTTGCATGTCGCCATTCAGTTTCCAAAGAGTATGACTAATCCAGTGATATTGTGCTTATACTTATTTGGTTTACTATTTTCCACAGCTACAATTGTTTTGGTTGTTAAAGAAGCGTGGATGATGAAGGTGATTATTAACTAACACTTCCTTGTCTGCTTAAATGCCGTATAGGTACCATTTTGTTGCCATACAGTCATGAGGTTTGAATTCGACCTGCGTGATTGAGAAAGGAGTTTATTTATAAAAGGTCTAAATTGGGGATGTCTGCCAGACGATTCCATGTTGGAATGTCTAGAACTTAATCAACCTGAACATTTGCAAAGGAAGTGTTTAAATATTTCAATTTGGTTTGTGTAGTTTGGGTTTTCCAAAATCCGTCGATCAATATTTGTTTCTTTACTAAATTTATTTAGATTTTCTTGTACCCCATGGCGACCTGCAACACACATAAAGGATATTGTCTGATCTCAGTTGACTTCACACTACTTGATTAGGTTTGATTATGTACTCTGGTTAGATATCATAAGAATAGCTTCTTTATTGTCGGAGAAGTTTGTAATCTATTGACTTCGTAGATTATTTTCTCAAATTAATAAACCTGCCTCACTACTAGCTATTCTATCTTATGTTGTTGTAACCCGCTGGGATCTGCTTGTAGATTCCCTTTGTGAGTGGTGAACGGCACTTGGTTGTCGTTGTTGACAAGTCGATCTGAGACGTAGACCCGACCATTCTTGAAACCATTCTACCCTCCTGTCGATTAGTTGGATTTTTCTTCTTTAAAACTTCTTTAAAATTGGCTAAAATTTATTAATGACATTTTAATTGATATTTGTCCAGACTAAGTATTATATATTAATTAATTTACTAATTTTGTCACACACTACTAACAGTTTCAAAAAACAAATTATTAACACATGAAAACACAGTACTAACACCCTGTATAATAATAACATAAAATAATGCGTATATATTTATATGGAAAAAAATATGGATTTTATTTAAATGACTTTTAAGTTAAAAATTCGAATTTTAAGCTCAAAATATTTATCATATTTTAAGCATATCCGTCCCACAAAAATTTATTACAAAAAAAAAATTAATAAAAAAATTTATTAAAAATATAATTATAAAAACAAACACTTAAACAAACAATTATAACATAAAAAATTTTAAACATTAAAGATTTTATTTAAAATACAATAATGAAAAAAAAACTTATTTAAATAATTACAAAAAAAAAATAATTTTTAAAACAAAACAATTATTTAAAAAATAAATATATTATAAATAAATATTTTTATTATAAATGAAGTTGTGTTCTAGTTAAAAAAAATTAAATTTATTAAAAAAATTATTCAGAACGCAAGATAATAAGGCGTGGTATAGTTAAGCATAAGAGAATATCATTTTAAAAAATAAATCACTGGAAGTAAATACTGCGATAATAAATCTGAATATGAATGAAATATATATAGTCATATATGTATGTATATTTATATAAATATATTTTTCTTAAAAAATAATTTTTAAACATATTTTTAAAGAAATTATTGCCAATACAAATATTTTATCATTAGTCCTTAAACTTACTATCATAAAAAGCATGATGACGTTTTGCTATTTGATAGTATAAAAAATTTGTAATATATATAAAATTTTGAGTATATATATATATTATATGAGAATTTATGAGACCATCCTTAAATAGAAAAAGTAATTTCAGTAAAAATTTACTAAATCTGCGAAGCGTTATTTTATAAGTTTTATGGAAAGGAATTGAATAAATTGATATATTTTAAAAATTATATTATACATATATAGGTGTTTCATATATTTTATATATTATAAAATGTTAACAGCTCCCCTTGTATAAGAAATTTGCTACTGAATGAATAAACTTCTCTCTCTCTCTCTCTCTAGTTAAGTCAAACACTGTAAATATGTGCGCATCAAATATTTTTACTATTTTTATTTTCTTATTTAATAATAACTATTTTTAATATATAATATACATATATATATTAAGCCTAGTGTTTATAATAAGCTACTTTAGTTGTATGTTTAAAACAATTATTTTATAAAAAATTGTTGTGATAGATTTTATAATTTGCATATCAATATGCAGATTAAATTCGTGTTTTTCATCATCGATCACAAGAAGATCGAAACAAGCTTCTTTTTTATACAAAAATTGGGAAAAACATTTTTAGAATTTACTTTGCATATTGTTAAGATTATGTTAAATAAAGTTTTATAAAGTCTTCATTTTTAATAAATAAATAAAAAAAAATCTAACTAAATTGCGTTTTATTTTTATTTGGTGTGATTGAGATAAATGACAAATCATTTTTTAACATCTCCGGAATCTGTTGTGTTATTCCCCTAGGTTAGTTTTTAAAATTTTTTGGATCACTTAAAGTTAGACAGTCTTAAATGCTGATTCCAATGACTTTGTTATATATTTAATATGCTTAAATAGAAAAGCGTGAGCATGTTATAATATTGTAATACACAGAAATATCGTGATGGATAAACCTTTTTAAAATAAAAGGTACATTAAAATTAGTTCGGCCGTTTTTCTCAACATTTTGAAATTCGTTGGAATTTAGTATGTACAAATGTCACTAAGGTATTAGGGTTGCCAGGTACAATTCTTATTAAAATTGATACATATTCAAAGGATTATATTAGATCTGTTCCACGAGCTACTCATAGTAAAACATGAGTAAAACAGAAGTAAAATTTACACAAAAATACTTGAAAATTTGCTGGTGGAACGCGCTTGTGTATACACAGTGTTTACTCAAAGTTACTATGAGTAGCTCGTGGAACAGACCTATTATTTTCATATTGAGTGGAACAAAAGCATGCAATATATAACAAAAAAATGTTAATTTAATTGTCTTGTAACCTATTTACACAGGATAAGTAATCGCAATTTTAATAGTACTTTTAATCCTCCCAAACAATCCATTTACATCATTACAACTGCGATGTTGATAACCAAGTTGAAATCAAGTTCGCATTAACACAATAATATATCGATATTTTGAATAATACTAATAAATGAAAGTAAAATGAAACTAAAATATTGCTGTAATTTACTATCTGTATTTGTTTTCACTCTTTTGGTTATGTCATTATTTAAATAAAAGGAGTTCAAATAATTTATGTTAGTATCTTTATTAATAAAAAAAATTTAATTTTTAATTATAAATGCGAGAATAGAACAGTGAATAGCAAATCTATATTTTCTTTCCAGCTATTAATTTTTGATCAAATTTTTGATTGGGCAAGAAAATTTGACAAATCGAGAGTAAATCTAAATTGAATCTAGATTTCCAAATCGAAAACACTATTAAATTAATTAATCGAAAATGAAAACTGTACTAAAAGTAAACCTCAGTTGAAAAACTTACCTAAAATTTGCTAATCGAAAAACACATATCTATATGCAAGCTATATGTAATTTTTGATTTCTTGTAAATACCAAAATATACGTAAAATTACTTGTCGAAACTTTTTGTTTGCTTTTCTATATACACACAACAAAGTAAAGTTCATATATATAAATTTTTAATCTACAGAATTCATCAAGTGTAGTCGGTATCAAAAATTTAATTATTTTTTCCGGTAGGTGGAAAGCATCGAAAATTACAATGTGAGACTAAAACCATCTCTTAGGAACGCAAAATCGACAAATTCCAGCTATTGGTACATTTAGGTGAAAAGCTGAAACCCAGTTATTAAAGGAAAGACAGATACTAAAATACATAAAACTTAGTATTAGAAAATAGATATATCTAAACCAAATTACTAATATATCTGTGGTACTTCTGTATTACCACTTTCGTATTAAATAAAACACTTTTGTTGCGCTGAGTAATGTATTCCACATGTCTATTAATTTTTCCTCAAAAATTACTTAATAAAATGTGAAATTTATTTTTATCAGTGTATCTTTTCAGTTTGTTTTACAGTTTCTAAGTCACTGGGGTTAGTTAGCGTCAGCTGTTATTCAATTTGAAAAGTAAAAACAAAACCGCTTAAACATAAAATAAGCAACGCTACCTGCAGTTTCAGTTAAAATAAGTATGTAATAATTTAAAATATATATTTATTTATATTATTTATGTTCTTATCAATTTATTTCATTGTTTTGTAGTGTCAACTAAAGGAAAACTATGTGTAAAATGTGAAGAGGACCACTTTCTGGATCCGCATCCACATTGTGTTCATGGTCCGACTTTGCTCTTCTATTATGAAAATGAACCACCACAAAAAGGTTTCTATGGCTGCGCGGCTTACCGGGATAAAAAAATGTGCTCATTCCATTTGCCAGCAGATTCATTGACAGAAAAGTATTTAAAACAAAATTTGGATACATCAACACAAATTTATAAAAAACTGCGTTATGATGTAAATTTTTGACATCTTCACGAAAAATGATTTTTTTTTATTAATTTATGCAATATTTTTAGCCACGCGCACCACTTGAATATTTCTATTGTGTCAATTGCGATGCACCAGTAGGAAAAGATCATCAGAAAGATTGTGTGGAACACAAAGTAATCGCGGGCGATTTGCTAAAGAATCCAACACAGTTTCTGCGTCCACTCGACAATGACAAAGGACAGGCACAGTATTTCTTTGATGAAAGAGCATTGAATTTGTTTGTTAAATGCTTTCGTGACATGGGCATAAAGTACGGAATGGTATTAAGTAGATTCTTAAACCAATTTTTATTAATATTAATCATATTTATAGTAAAGTGGTTTGCATTGGTGCACCGAGATTGCACACTTTTTTAAAGTTGCATTGTGAGGATATAAATAGTTTTCTCTTGGATTTTGACAAACGTTTTTTGTATTTCTTTGATGACTGGGAGTATGCCTGGTATAATATGTGCAACAACTACTTCTTTGATTCCAAACAACAAATAATGTTTCGTAATTTTCTAAATAATCAAAAGTAAGCTATTTAATAAAGCAAGGAAATTAAAATAATGAGAGTTACTTATCTTTACAGCAATGAACACCTATTAATATTCACTGATCCACCTTATGGTTGCCGCACAGAAGTCATAGCAAACACATTACATCAACTGGTACAACTTTATCATAGTATTAATAAATCCAAATACTTTCCATTGCCGCTATTTTGGATATATCCATATTTCTCGGAACAACACATACAAAAAGTCATGCCGGAAATGCAGATGTCTGATTATAAGGTCAATTATACAAACCACTCTACTTACACGGACGGTTTGAACAAAATACGTAAGCAGGGTTCACCTGCACGTATATTCACTAATGTATCACTTGAGAGATTAATATTACCTGTAGAGGAGGAGTATAAATATTGTGCTAGCTGTAGGCGCTACACAGCTCTGGAGAATCGTCACTGCCAACAGTGCGGCATTTGTCCATCGAAGAACGGCAGCACATATAAACATTGCCAATTATGTGGTATATGTGTGAAGCCGAGTTATGTCCATTGCCGTAACTGTCGTCGTTGTACACAAGTTGAAGGACATAACTGTACGGAGTATCAGACAAAGCAACGTTGCTGGATTTGCAGACAGTCGGGACATATAGAGAAAAATTGTGCCACATGGCAAAATATTCGAAATAAAATGATTTTGTTGAATTACAACTCCAGAGAAACGGAAAAAGCAATTGTTTGTTACATTTGCGATCAGAAGGGACACAATGAACTAAAATGTAAAGAACGTGTAAAGTATTTTGAGGAAACTTCGTTTTGTGGTGAAGTACAACTCAAATTGAAACTGTAAATAACAAAAGTCATAATAAAGTCAAGAAACTTCTAAGAAGCTAATCTCAGGTATGGAACTATAACGAAAGATTTAGTTAATAATAGCAAATAGTTTTTAAGTGCCTTTTTTCCTTACTTCCTTTAAAGTTTATTGAAAAATTATAAAATTTAAATTAATTATAGTAAATTATTAATTATAATTAAAGTTATTATTAATAATAGTTTTTAAAAATCAACTTTTTATTAAGAAATATCTTAGAGATATACACAACTTTGTTAATTCTTAATTAACACTTTTTCATGATGTAATAGAAGTTATATACATATCCATATGTCCATATCTAACATGTCCAAATTTTTGTATAATAAATAATTTCATATTTAATTATGTTAAATTGATTTTAAACGTCCGTTTTGGCGAAAGAAACTAAATACTTAATTTTATGGAACAGTAGTGGAATTGCCACAAATCAGAGGTATCACAGAACCAAATCAGAGGTATCTAGGTTAATCTCTGTGGTATCGCCTGCAACGCATGTCTACCAACTTTCGCAGAAAGGACACCAGCACACCTGTTGTATCTATGGTATATCCAGGCTTAATCAGAACTAGGTTTTGGTTTTTGAAGACCCTTTACTTTGACATACTCAGCCATATCTTCAGTATTAGCATTCTCGTCTTTAGAAATGTTTCTAGCTGTCCAGGTTTGGTCAGAACTAGGCTGTTTTTGGTGTTTCCCTTCTTTGACACACTTATCAATATTAGCATTTGTCCAGATTCTCGCCTTTATAAATGTTTCTGGCTGTTTCTAGTTTGACATTCTTCTATCCATCGTTACGAGGAATTGTGGTTTCAGAACGGCTTTATTAGCTAATTAATGGGGATTTGTTCCTCCTTCCACTTCAACAAACTAACTAACGAGCTGGCTATACAGCTGTTCCGAGTATGGTATATTTAATTATTGACTAATTAATACTGATTTAAATGAAATCCATCTAGGTAAAGTCCAAAAAGCTCACTCAACTCAAAAACAAAATGTTGTTAGGCTTTTTAGTCTAAATTGATTTGAATTCAGATTAACCATTGATTTATTGTTAATGAACCGTGAGAATCTTCTAGTAAAATCTTTTTAGGGGGTGGTGAACGTTACTTGGACGTCGAGATTGCCAAGAGACTACGAAAGCCCGAGTCAGCGTAAAACTTCAAGCCAGTAAAATAGCTCTGATATCCGACAGGTAGTCCTTTCGGGATTACCGGTTTAGTGTTTCCTCAAGAAGTCGCACAGAGTACGAAGCTTAGAGGATTTTTAAGTCTATTTAGGCGTCTAACTTTCAGTTAGTATTATTATTAGTAGATTTGCTTTATTAAGCGTTCAGTTGATTCCTTTTTATCATAATAGACTGATGCCTCTTCAATACAAGAGATTCTACAAAAATCATATCAACAATGTTTGAGTCTAGTTGCTTGTTTACCTATCAGGTAGTGTCCTTTAATAAGCGATTAGTTGATCCCTCTTAACTACAACAGAATCTACAAAAATCGATAATGTATTATTGAAATGAGGTCAGTGTCATAATAAGCGTTGAACTGGTTCCCATTTAACACAGTGGACTGATTCCTCTTCAACATAGCAGATTGATACCCCTTTTAATACAAACGATTCTACAAAATCTATTTCTACAATATTTGGGTCTAGTTATGCTAGTCGTCCTGTTAGGTAAAGTTCTTAGTAGAGCATTTCTAATATATAACAGATTCTTCAAAAATGATTTACGTATTAATTTGCTCTAAGCAAGTTAGAGTTATAATAATTATTGAACTGTTTTCTCTCCAACATAACAAATTCTACAAAAATATTTTAAACTTTTGATCCCAATTGCTCGATATATAGATATAGACAATATCTCTTTATTATAATAGGTTTTACATTATTCATTTTTAGTCTGAGCAATCTGTATCAGGCTATATCTCGAATATATTCTCCCTTTTATAGTAAGGGGGATTATTAAGGTAACACATTGGATTGAATATTGGAATTCCATGACAAGTTTACAAGTTACCATCGTCTTTATTATCGCATACTACTCTGTGAATAATACTATTTAAATATGCTGTTTGTGGATATGTTCTTTTCTTGCCATGATTAGCCATGATGATACGATTACTGCCGGTTAGCACACACTAACTTGAGCCCAATGATCTTTGGACCCGTCTCATAGAAGTGCCCCGGTTTCTTAGTCTTGATCCTGTTTGACTTCAACTAAATATCTACCCATTCCCAATCCATTCTTACTTTTAAATAATCTGCTCCACTATCAACACCTAACCATATCCTAACCCATATACAAGTATTTGTAATGCTTTTCATGTTATCTGCTTGATACTATAACAACACCAACCATAACTGCAGATAGTGGAAGCAGATAGTGGTTGGCTGACTACTCATGCCATTACATTATTATAATAAATATTGTAATTTATTTTAAATTTTTAAACAACAAACTTAGTTTATTTGTTACTTATTGGTTTTCAGCAAACATATGTGGTACAGTTTTTTATAAGGTGAATGTATTTTTAATCTAAAGTCAACTTACTTATATATTGTAAATAATTAATTGGTTGTGACAATTTTTGTTATACATAAAAATTGTATAGGAATAAACTACAAACTAAATAAAGAAATGCTTTTAGGTCTGATATTTACCAGTAAATTTCTTTAATTTTGTAAATTTAATTTCTTTAATTAAATTTCTTTTAATTAAACTTAGATGAATTGCGATTGTAGGCAATTGTTGCAATTGATCTTTACCAAGAGCTAGCACGTTTATGTTCCTTTTTTTCGGTATCATCAACCAATGACTTCTTAAATATGTCATCTGTTGATTGTCTGGCTGTTGGAATGGATTCTGTTCGATTGCTCGAACACTGCGGTCAGCTCTGGGCATGCTCAGTTTTCTTATCATAACCGCCGGTGGTATAATCACTTTCGACTTCTTTCAATTCTATTTTCTGATCACGCATAGCTCTCTGCAAAACCAAATTATTAGCAATAACTGTTATATAGAAATATGATCTAAATTACCTTAACACATTCCTGATAAGTTTTAAAAAGCGGTGCACACATTGATTCATCCGTATTGCCCCTTAAAAATTGCTCTGAGAACCAAGTATTGAAGCAGGCATCGTATTGTTTTTTCAATTCCGTACACTCCTCACCCAGACTGTTCATTATAAATTAATAAATTAATTAATAAAAATTTTAAATAAATGCAAATCTTATCGAATGATAAAATTTTTATGTGATGTTTTGTAATTCTGCGGTTATTCAAACGTGATTCCTCCTTTCCTATCATAGAACTATCGAACAGCTGATTTGTATGTATTACTATTACAGTGCAGTTCAAAGTGTAAACTGTTCCCAAAAATTTTTGCACTGAGAATTTTGCAATATGAAAAGACTTTTAGCCAAGAGTTTAATTATTTAAAATTTTGGTCTTTTCATTTTTTTTGAAAACATTTTTTAATAATTTTATTATACAGAAATTTTTTTTATAATATTGTAAAGAAGTTTATTTAAGTTTATTTATGTATTATTTAAGTTAAGTTTAAGTTTTAATTATCTTACCTTACCCATTCATCTTTGCTTTTCTTTGGCTGAGGTTGGCTGAACCAACCAAAATTTGGTAAGATATCAAATAGCCACATATCAAAATATAATAAACCAGCAGAGTTTATTATAGGAAATGTTTATTGTTAAAAAAATTTTTATAAATAAAAATCACAAAACTTTTAACTTTCAAAATAATAATTTTTGGACTTTGGAACTTATCGATAGAAATATATAAAATGGCATGAGCTACTGAGATTTTTTTTGATCAAAAGCTGTCAGTATTAAAAATATAATATAATACTCTAAGTAGCCAATATACAACATTTACAGACTAGTGTTATTTGAATTGCATTCCATGGAAGTATAAGAATATTAAACACTGATATTAGAGTCGTAACTTAAGTCTTAATATTAACTTAAGCCGTGTTTAAGTCATTAGTTTTGCTGACATAATTTATATCTAATTAAATTGCTTTGTTACAGGCAACTAATACGGCCACTTGTTATTTATTTTTCATTTTGTCCCGCATCTTATTCTCTCAAGTGAAAAGCTTTCTGTAGTTTGAAAGAAGAGTGCTCCCAAATTGCATTAACTACAAGCGTAGAACTAATGGCATACATTTTCCCAATATCACTACTCAGCTCAATTTGGTATCCGACCTACTTAATAGAATGCAGTACAATCCTCTGAAATTCCTGGCCCATTATCTGGACGACATCGTCAGATTTTTTCCTGATATTCTTTACTCAGCTCAATTTCGTATCGACTGCTTAATAAAATGCGGTACAAAGCTTCCCAATTCCTGGCCCTAGCAGGAAATGAAAAATCCCCCCTTCTTCTTCTCACTTGCTTCTAATTTTGGTCTAAATATTATTGTGGTTTAAATGCTAAGCTTTCATTGAAATTGACTTCTAGATTTTGCTTTTACGATCCAATAACAGAAATTTGCTTTATTCGAAAATTCGATCTCTAATTTGTTCAGAGCAAAACATTCAAGCAATGTGAAGCGTATGAAAAACTTCAATAGTTACAATGGCTTTCGGTGCTTTCCAACTACCAGAAAAAAAATAATTTATACTTGAGTCAGGTTTGAGATTTAAATTGCGAACGTGAAATCAACCCTAATTCTACCGCATTGTACTGTACTCCATCTGTTTATGAACTCATTTCTCAGTAGGTGGAACACGGCTTTTTTGTAGGACTTTAGCCCGCAACTAAAGTCACTTCCTATGAATTAGAGAATTTCTTTTATTAAAAATGAAATAATGCTGAAATATAATTTGTAAAAGTTGCAACAAAAAAATGGGAAATAACATTTAAATCATTCAATTATAATATTAAATATATATTTGATCATTCGAGAATAATTCTCATGTGGCTGAGATCAGCACAACATCAATTTCCTACTAGGCAGTGTACGTGAACAGCTGTGCTGGTGGGGTTATTTTCTTACATCTGTTCTCAGCATTTTTCAAGCACGTTAGAATTGCTGTACCCGGCCGCTGAAGTTGCATTTTAATAATAAATTGAAATTTTATAATACTAAGTCAAAAATAAAAATGAATAATTTAATTAGAAATACATTTCGTTGGGCTACAATTGCCACAAATACCACCCCAAATGCATTGAAAAATGTATTTGGCAAACGGGACTTTACGCGGACCTTGTGGCACATGTCCAAGACTCCAGAGAATTCAGGATATAACACAGTACTTGACTTACATAAGCCGAGCATAAACTGTAGCTGCGGTTGTGGGGGAAAAAAACATGTGCACACGAAAGGTTAGTAGATTTTTAATTTTATTTCATAATTTATTAAGTTATCGTGCTGTACGTTACATAACCTAAAAAAATGATGTAAATGGAATAATAATTTTGAAAATGATCTAATTACTTAATTATAATAATTTAAACGATTAATTGTTTTAGGTGAACGTGAATTGGTAGAATTCTTAACAGAAGAAATTATTGCTGAACGCAAATCTCAAAAATTCAAGAACGTGCCCACCTGTGTGGATGGCTTCAATGTTAAATTGGATGGTGCAGAAGTTGAATTAAGCAAAGTTGGAGATAAGGAAAAGTGAGTACATTTAATACTTATTATATATCTAAATTTTATTTATTTTCGTTTTGCTAGAATTGTGGTTAATTTTAATGTAAACCATACAGTTGATTCTGAGGAGGAACCAGAAATTAATCCTAATGATGATAAACCAAATATTGGTGAAATGCGTAGTAAACCACAATTTGAAGTTGACATTGTGAGAGGCAACACGACACTATCTTTCACTTGCTCTTTTCTTCAGGGCACTGCACAGGAGGGCGAATACAGTAAGTAGTGTCATCGACAAATTAAATAGATGTGATAGGTTGAGAAATTTAGTTATTTGGTTCAATTATGAATTTTATTTTACAGCTTGTGAATAATACAAAAATTAATATAATATAGGTTTTATGCAAGTGAATAAAGAATTGATTATAGAATTGTTACATTACAAATGCATCAAATGCTCCCGAACTCAAGATAATTATAAATTTTGCTGACAGAAACTCAAGTCTTTTCTTCAAAATCATAATCAAATATGGTATATTAAATTAAAACTGTAAGTCCTGATGAAGTACCTTAAATAACTATATAGGCAAGACACTGCAGTAACGGAAAATATAATACACAACAGTTCCGAAACTGCTTATTCAACATTAAATCGAGTCATCAATATTAAGCGAAAAGTTTATTAGATATACATATCTATATAAGTATATATTTTATAGAATTTATTGGTTTAATTAAAGAATATAGATGATGTCGAAAAATTCTAATTAGTAGAGTTGTAGAGTTGAATTTCTAAGTTAAAGTTTTTAGTCAAAATATCTCTTGTAAATAAATTCGACCTCAAACACTGATAATATATAAAGAGATAGTTATTATAGTCTTCTAGCGTCTTTAGTGAAACCTGAGATCAAAAAAAAAAGCTGTGGTATATAGGTGCATATCGCTTTAATGGAATAGTATAAACTCAATTCTTTCACTAAGAGGGTTCAGTTTTGTTTCATTGAATATCTCAAATACTAAACCAAAACAAATGTTTAACCTTAACGAAATTCTCAGACATTCAGTGACGATATTCTGCTACCAGGATACCCTGCTTTTTTATGAATATTTTAAATAACTAAGCGGAAGAAATTCTACACTTTAGCAAAATTCTCGCTTTTCATGATTATTTTATTAAATGACACAAGAGTTTATAGAATTTCTGATCTGAACTTCCCCTGAATTACACATACCCTATTTTTTACCAATATTCTTTGATTACATACAATACATCTATGACTCTATAATTGATCTATTAATTCCCGAAACAAATCTTAAAGCACATATACGTTAAATAAACTCTATTGATTTTGTAGATTTTTTGACTTACCTCATTATTACATAAAAATATTAAAGCGACAAATAATTAATTTTTTTTTAGATGATGTATTCGGAATTGATGAAATGGTCTTATATGAAAATGAATGGAATGACAAAGTTTATGCTGTCGCTGGCGATGTTTTGGATGGTGTAAGTATTTATTTGGGGATTATTAATAGAAAAAATAGGTGAAAATAGGTTAATTGTAAAAGGAGTGGGTATGGGAATGAATAGGAAAATAAAAACTTGACTTGATACAAGTGAAGAAAGACAGTGGAGTCACATATCTATTAGATTTTAATTGATGAATTAAACAATTGGGTGAGATTAGACTGAGAAGAACAGCAGTTGATGCACCTGCTAGAACTGTTAAAGCATAAAAAGTAACCATTTTAGAGGTGACCATAATCTGTATAAAGGCAAGGAAGTATTGATCTTGTTTTTAGGACACTATACCGAATTTTAAAACATCGGTATTTCGCATATTGGCGGCAGTGGTTATGATACTATCTAAAACAGCACATGGAATTACGAAGATAGAGGTGTTTTTTTGCGGGATTCTTAAATTCATCAATTTTTACAATATATATCCTATTATATATCTTACTCCAAATATATAGATAATATACATGTGCTATTTACTTCAAGAAGTAAAGTATGTAGATTGTATGTCTAGAGAATCATTAAATACTTTCTTGACGCCAGTATTCTTGTAGTTAGAATCAATCCTCCGTTTACGTTGTTGTTGCAGTAACTCGTATAGCAAAAACACGAATCAATTACATACAAATATATAGAAGTAATGGGAGTAGTTGAAGAAATTGTGAGGTTACAATATGTGAGGTTTACGTAGAGCTCAGGCTAATTTTGCTGATTAGCAGTGTAAAATTATCCTGGTTGATGTGAAGGAACTTCGAAAACTTTTATGAATGAACACTTTATTCATAGGGTTCATTCAATCTCATGAATGAACCAACCCTATGTGTGTACAGTTGGATAGATAATAGATGGGTGGTATTATAGAGATGTCTATTCTATATTATATTAAAAATCAGAACTTTACTTCAATTAACTAATTAAACTTTTCTAAATTTTTTTTAGTATTTGTATGATTTGCTGATGAACTTATTGGAGGAGAAAGGAGTCACAAATGAATTTGCTGAAAAATTAAGTGACCTAGCCACTGCCTATGAACATGCATCTTATATTAAACTTTTGGAAAATTTGTCAAAGTTTTCATCTGGAAAACCAATGTAAATTATTTTTAGTTTAAAAGGGATTTTTGTTCTAAAAATATTTGTGTTTTAACTGAACAGAAAATATTTCATATATATTTTTTTCCTTAAATTGTAATTACCGCTGTATTTTTAAGAGTATATTTTACTAAAATAGTTTAAATTAAATTGACGAATGAACATTGATTGTTTCATATATGAATTTTGTCTTATATTCCTTTGCTTAGAGACATATGAATATATGAATTTCGTCAATTTAATACTTTTAAAATTTTGATCTGTAATTTAAGCTCATAATTGTTATTTCCATTAAGTATTTCGATTAGTTTTTACAAGCCTTAACAATAATTTTATTTACAAATATTTTTATTTAACAGCATTTGTAATTAAATTATATAAAATGTTTAAATCTATTGTTATAATTAGATACATTTTGAAACACATATATCTCTATATATACTGAACATAAAAAATGTTATATATAATAAAGTAACGTAATTCAATTTTTTTAAATAGTTGGTTGTTAATTATTAAAAAAATATAGGCATTTCTTTGAAATTTATTGGAGAAAGATATGAAGATGTTTATAGAATAATTTTTTAACTTAATGGAACATTTATTAAGTGTGACTTTGACTGGTAGTCAAATGAATGATATGGACGATGTTTACTAATTAAATACATATCTTTTAACATCAATGTATAATACACTTGTTTCAGGTTGTAAAACCTGTGGTCAGGATTATAAAACCTGTAGTCAGGTTGTAAAACATGTCAGGGTTTAAGTTGCGGTGTTTACTTTAAAGTAACATCAATTAATAATATGTGTTTCGGGTTTAAGTTCTGGTCTTTTTGGCAGATCATGTGTCATTCGATGCGATAATAGTGGAGCACAGAACTCACTTTATAATTTACATCTTTGCCTAATGAATAAAGTTTGGTTAGATTGGAGCGGAGGCCTTGTGTCTAAAACCTACTTGAGCTCAAATAATGGCTCGTTGATATACTAAGTATTAGAATTATTCATACGCAGACTAGACGGTCACTATACGAACAAGGTTGAAAGGTACGACTTCCTCAATTCAAGTAAAATTGAACCAACCTAACAAGTCTATAAACTTGGGCAAGTTCTTAGTTTTGCAGGATGGCAGCTCTGTCAAGTCGGTAAGAACAGGTATGGGCCTCAGGATTTCTAATCTTGTTTTAAATAATGATGAACACTGTTAAATGAAGTAAAGTACAGTTTCCACCTCATTGCAGAGCCACTCTTATAGCATGTCTTTTAAGTCCGCAATAATCCTTCATTACCGATACTGTAACGCTGAGCAGGTTAAGCGTTGAAATAGGTTGAAGTAGCTGATGGGTACGTTTCTTGTCTAGTTTGAATCAGGTCAATCTTGAGATTCTGAAAGAGGAAAGTAGAGAGGTTTTTACTTCTTGCAGTATTTACCGTTAATATACTCTTAATCCAAATATTTAAATTTTATGTATATATTTTAGAAGACAGGTAATATAAAGTACAGGTTATTTTTTAAAAAAGATTTCTTTTACTTTATAAAAAAACGTCTATTTTATAATGTATTTGAGCTACAGCTCACCTGTTCCAAGAGCATCGGTGGTTCAGTGGTAGAATGCTCGCCTGCCACGCGGGCGGCCCGGGTTCGATTCCCGGCCGATGCAACTCGATTTTTTGCAATAATTTTTTAATTCCCAGCTCAGATTTTAATAGTTAAACATTTTACTATAAAATAAAATTTTTTATTTAGTAATTTTAGTTAGAATATGCGAAGGTGTTGTTTTATTAGATACACTGTAAAAGAATTAAATGAGTTAAACGAATTAATAATATTACTTTATTTCATACATAGATCTGTAATAGATAGAGATTGTAGTAGCGGTAGTTTTGGAAGCTTTAGGAGACTTGGACCTACTACGATGAATACAATCAGTGACTTTTACGTTTATATTTAAATCCGTATTAAAAGAAAAAATATTTTTCTTATTTTTTATTATATTTTAATAATATTTTTCTTTTATGACAATGTGTTAAAAAAAATCCATTAAAATGTAAGTATAAAGTAGTTATAATTTTTGTTAAATTTATGAAACAAATAGCGTAATAATAAAAAAAAAAGAGTTGCATCGGCCGGGAATCGAACCCGGGCCGCCCGCGTGGCAGGCGAGCATTCTACCACTGAACCACCGATGCTTATTTGATCACGTGTATAAAATAAAATAAGTAACATACCATTCAATACTGCAATAATACAATACCTATAGCAATTAAGCTATTTTCTAGTAAAAAAGTTCAACATAATGTGGTGTATATAGAAATGCGCCTTATATCATGTTTCCATTGCAGCTAAAACTACTTATGTTAATAAAATGAAGATTTGGTCGTTTCTATTGGTATAAGCTAATTTATGCATGAAAAATGCAGTGAAAACTCTTCTAACGGACACCTCTGTTAAGCGGACATTTTTGTTAAGCGGATACCTTTGTTAAGCGGACACCTCTCTTGAGTGAACAATTTTTCCGAAACCAGATTTTTGTATTATTCAGAGCAAGTTAAACCGTTTTGGGCGGTGGACATAGAATTTCTGTGAAATTCTGTAAAATACTCCTCTTGGCCGGACGTGAACTCCTTAATAACGAATAAATAAATGGAGTTAAAAAAATCTTAAGACAATAAGACTTAATGAAAATTAGGGACCCCCCTCCTAAGATGAAAATGTTTACCAATTCCTTCTAATATTCAATTCCTTTTCTTTAATTTAAATTAATTAATTTTTAGTGTTTACGATTTTCATATTTCATATAAGCTGTAATTTTTTCTTTCAGAGTTCTAAAAAAAACAGCATTAAGTCTGGTTTGTACAGATTGCTTAGAACAAAGAAAATTAAGGATTATTTAAAAATCTATTATAATATATTGGGTCATATTGGTAAGTATCCATGCTTTTTTATCACTAGATGGTGTTGGTGCCATAAACAGGTTAAACGATGATGCTTCAAAAGTGACATTTCAGGCTATATGTTTTGTGAAGGCAGTTTTGTAGTTCGTTTCGAGTGATAATTTTTTATAAAAGTAGAAAGCATTCAATTATGTCTACTATATCTTATTTAAAGAGGGAAACATTTTAGATTCCAGTTTAAAATTTTAAGTATAAAGTTAGTTAGTTGTGGTGGAAGGAGGAACGAATCCTCCTCAATTAGCTAAGAAAGCCGTTTTGAATCCATAAATCCTCGAAATAATCGGTAGAAAAGTATAAGGTTAATGAGCAGTAATAAATAAACAATTCGAAAACTAATACTAAAGTAAGCAGACCATTTATGACAGAAGATATATAATAATGATGAACAATGTCTAGAAAATATGTGGTAGCATCTATACTCTAGCTTGACTGTTTGACTATAAAAATTCTATTAAATAAGATTTATATTTCATATACTTTGCTATTTCCAAGTATTCATATTCATATAATTTTTATGTGTTTTGAAGGTGATATTATGTTTAAATCATTTTCATCAAGATTTAATTAAAAGATGCCACATATTTGTAATTCAGTTTCGACAAAAAGTTCGATTTCATCATTTGCAACTCGCGAAGGGAAATTCATTTTAGATTCAAATCCGATTTCTGTTTCTGATGATGAATAAATAAAACAAAGTAAAGTGCATACAACAATTTAAGTTAAAGTATCTTCAGCTCTAAACTTTAGTAAACAATTTTTGACATTAGCACCATTCACATGGATTGACTTTATGACGATGACTTCGTTTCTTAACTTCTTCTTGGATGTGCAAATTATTGCACATAAACTTCAATGTAAAGTGGTAATCGGCAAAGTGACTGGCATCTTAAGTTCGCTACCTTAGATTGTATCTTGGATTTCATTCTATTTTAATCACAAGTGAAGACATATATTACAGTTACAGCAAAAATAAATGTTTTGTTGCTAAAGACAAACATATGATGAGAATTTGAAAACAATACATTGTATATGAGATGTGAACACGTTCGTATGGCAGATGCAACCCAAACTCCTACGAAATTGATTGGGTGCTCTAAAATATTGATATTTTTTTTGATTTTAATTAAATTTTTTTTATTTATAAGATATAAAAAGTATTGGCAAATAAACTAAGCAAAAACTAACTAAAAAAAAAATAGATAGAGCTATATAGGAATTAAGTTTTTTATAGTATTCGATTGTAATAGATAGATGACAAAGCGCCATCTATTCATCAAAAACAACACTAAAACTGAGATGTCAATTAATTATTTCGTTTTAAGAAAATAAGCAAAATTTCTTCAATTTATTGTTAAAAAATGGTGTTTGAAGTTTAAGTGTCAGAGTATTTTTGGACAGTCGAAAAAGTTTGGACAACGTGCAGAAATTGAGTTCTAAAGCTCCATCTATTCATCAATAACAGCACTAAAACTGGGATGTCAATGAATTATTTCGTTTTTAAAAAATAGGCAAAATTTGTTTAATGTGCAGTTACCAAACGCTGTTTGAGCTTTAAGTGTCAGAGTCGAAAAAGTTTGGATATCGCGCGGAAATTGAATTCTTCGTAAAACAAAATTTAAAGGCAATGGAAATAATTCATATTTAATGATAAATATATTACAAAATATGTATAAAATAAATGTATATCAGTTCCTTTCAAAATGATAACTTATACGTGTGTTGGATTAATTAAAATTGATTGTCCAAACCCTAATGATGATCGAAGGAAATGGTGTCCAAAAACTGCTTCAACGTCAAAAATCGTTGCAAAAATGCAGATCATTGGATTCGGGAGATATTCGATTTACCTAGAGATATTTAGTAAAAGTATTAGAAAGTTCATAAAACACATCGGCCAAAATTTTGTATCAAGTTTTGGGTTTTAAACGGAAGTGTGAGTAATTTAAAGGAATGCAGCATTCGTAAGAAACTTATTTACATAAATAGAACTTTGTCAGCAACATCTGGAATATTTTTTTTATTTTAGATAAGATCTTTATTATACGTCGTTTTAACACTACATTTTATCACAATCTGTCACCATAATCTTGAATAGGTCAAAGAATGATGTAAGTTCAGCTCTTCTGTTCCGAAGCGGGTTTGTGTCTAAAAGGTGTTTGCATTAGTTTTTGGCAAAAAGAGTTTTGTTTGTAGATTACTGATAAAAATAAATAACTCAGACTATTATTGCATCCTTTTGGACCAATTGATAGTTGATTACAGACGTAGTTTTAAATCAGAGGGGGAAGTAATTCATTTCTAAAAAATTTGTTTAATATCATAAATTTTGGACTTCAGTTATTGCCAATTTCACTAAGATAATGTAGTGCTTTTCCGGTTTTAAATAGACATCTTGTATAATTTGCTTCAGTTATTTTGTGGTTCCTTTCATGATATTTAATCACCAAAGCATTCTCTCTATTTTATAAAATTGTTGGTATAGTTTTTAATACTGACATCACAATCTTCGCGTTTTCTTAAGTTCGTTCTTCTAG